AAAGGCGGGTGTTGGCTTCTGTTGCAGGACCGCTTAGGCTCGCCTTCAGATGGGGAACACGAGCTGAGAGAATGTGGCGGTGCGCATTGACGGTCTCCTCGTTCTTCACCTAAATAAGTGCAAAGCTGGAAGCTCATAAGACTACGTCTTACGGTAATCACAAGGTCGGGGTTAGCATTTTCAACTCTGAGGGCTTCCAGCTCCGGACAGACCGTGTTAAGGGGAACGGCATCCTTAAATTCAACAGAATCCGGCAAGGGTGACTTCATTAGTAGAACAAACAACCTTGGTAGACGGTCGCGCCACTTATGTGTTTTTCGGCAAACCCTACAACGCCTGCAGTGTGAAACCTTTCACCACTCACGTGGAAGCAGTTTAACTAGTTGCGTAGTTTAAAGGTGTGCAATCACATTTGATCAGCCAATCAGAGTGGTGTGTGAGTCATGTTGGTGCATGTGTTGCTGAACAGGCACGAGCGGTAACTGTGTTTGTGAAGTTTTGATTGGAGTATACGCACACCGATCTGCGTGCCATCTCTAAACAACCTAACTGCCTAAACTGGGATTTTAAAGCGCCACTAATGACTAAAAAGGTAGATACTTTGAGTTCTTTTAGGTGCTGCCATTGATTCTGTTGATCACTCGCGCTCTATGCATTGCTGCATGTCTAACAGATGACATGTTTGGATGTGATTGTCGAATTGGGCTTAATTTGAAGTTGCAACACCGAGCAGACCCGGTCACGCCTGGCTGGATCTAGCAAAGCGGGTACCCTTTAGAAAGAATCACGGCGCATTTATCTGATTCAGGTGGAGTTCAAAAGATTCCAACTGGACGTCGGATAGTCTTGCTCCAATTTAATCACATTTATCCTAGAACTACGACTAAAACATTTTACTAGAAGAAAGCTAGTAAATGGATTCCGAAATATGCGGTGACCTTTGTGAATGGTGGTTGTGGTATTTATCTACGTTTATCGTTGTTCCCCTTATTAGACATCCAATTTTCACTCATTTCTTTTCTCAATTAGACTATATTTACCTGAGGGTCCTCAAAAAGAGATGAGATTACTCAAGCCATTCAGTCTAAGCTCAAATGAGCCCCCAAATTAACTATGATTTCAGAGAAACTCACAAACGAATGGCTTTAATGCATATTCCAGCACTAAACTTTCAGAAGAATCACTGTTATAGGCAACTGAACGTAACTAGCAAATAACGAGTAACTGAAAATTATTAAGTTTACGTTAAATCAGTTAGAAATGAATATACAGGTTTGTTCTGATGTTATTACCTTCGCCAACTTTCTACTGACAGTATATCTAATATTCGTGATACAGATCCACCCTATTTATATCTGCAAAGATAAAAATTTTCTTCACATACACAAAGCTTTCTACCGTTCAAAGTATTATCAACTTCAAAATTATACCAAGAATGTAGGTTTAGGACCACATTACTAAGTACTCTACGAGGGGTCAAATCGAAAAAATACCGCATATTTTCTCTAAAAATACGCCATACTTTTCCCTTGGTTCATGTAGACAGGCTCCAAAAAGTCTCATAAACAATAATTTATCTTGTGCGTGGGCCATATTTTTACGCATTTATATTCGTTTTATCTTGAATCATTCGGCCCGCGACCTACCAGGGAACTTGTACACACATACACAATTCATTACGAATTAAGAGAAAAGAGTATGAAGAAAGAAAGCTCTTCAGAAATTCGAGTTTTAGTCGTCAAATTTCAGGCAGGTAATACCAGCCTGTCCTCAGACCAAATGAAAAGCGGGGCTGGAATTATCGCCCAAGAGGGTTTGAGAGCAGAGGTGAAATCAAACAGGGGTGGGGGTGGCCGGGTGCGAATTGGGGTGACGCGAATCCTGTTGCGAATGGCACTGCAAGTGAGAAAGGGTGTGAACGTTTACATTTTTGGCTGCAGAATCACTAAAGTTTTGCTTGGCCGAGCAAGGATAGACTGCTGTTGTTTCACGCTGAACGTAAGTTAGCGGGTCATGCGCGCAAAACTTAGAAATGTGTATCAAGATCTATTTACTCGTTAATGCCGTTTATGCCCGGGTGCCCAGCTTCGAGAAATTTTCATGTCTGCTTTGTGTTAGCCGTTGCGACCACTTCAGTTCCGTCGCAAATTAAGCGCTGGTCACAATCAATAGCCCGCGCAAACAC